AAAACTCGCAAAAAACAAACTAAATCATTCAACGAGTTTGATTTTAAAGTATGATTCATATTGTTTATATTTTTGTTCTTATGTATGTAAGAGGCTGTTCGGTTCGTTTTCTGTTAAAACATGTATGAATATAATTGTCTGTATTGATATAGTTGTCTGTATGTTAACAGATAAGTTGTTGTTCGGTTGTTATGCTAAATAAACAGTCTAAATGTCATAAATGACCCCAACCTATATTAAACACTATTAAAGCATTTGTTTGATAACAATGTTGAATATTTGACTTTGAATGGTTAAAAAATATCAATTCAAAGTTTTGTTTTAATAAAAACAATTTACCAAGTCCTATAAAACCCAAATTAAAATAATTTAATTCTCAAAATATCATTCCCCAGTATTTTTTTCAAATCTAAAATCTTTAAATTAAAGTCTCAAATCTTTAATTGTATGTTTCATATATATAACATATTTTCATGTTCTTTTTTCACATAAAAAATAATTTTTAAACGTTTCATATATGAAACAACACATGAATCCAGTTTGTAATATTTATTGGGTCTATATTTAATTTATCATCTCTTTGTGTGGCCATAGAGTGTGTATATACACACACATGTGTGTGTAGATGATGTTTATTTTATAAATCATGTAATTCTTATAAACCACATAAACCAATCATAATTATTCATCTAGTTTAATAAATATCTGATTCTATTTAATTTCCTAATGTAAACCATGATCATAATTCCATATATATGTCAATCACAATTAATATATTATAATAATTTTTATAAATATCTCAAATATTTTTTAATATAAACATTAATTATAATTCATAAAACAATAATATAATCCTGCAACCATAAAAAAATATGTAATGGATATTAATTTAGAAATAAATAAGAAGTACTTCTGCAAAGTATATGGTAGAGAATATTTATATTTATAATTTTAAAAAAGAATTAAACCTGTTTTTGTTTTATAAAAAAAGGAAATAAAATGAAAGTTTATTAACTCACGTGTAGCATGTTTGTTTGGTAGGATGAATCAAAAAATATAATAAAAAATAAATTAAATAAAGAAATAAAATTAGAGCAGGAGAATCTCGACTAAAAACTTTGATTCAATTTTGTAACTAACGTTTGTAATTTTTAACAATATGGTCCATGAAATTCAAAAACTCGAATTTAATTCCTAATATTTGTAACTAACGTTTGTAATTTTCAATGTTTGTAATTATTCTTTATTATTATTATTAATTTTGTTTCACATATTGAAATAAAAAATATGACATTTTTTAAATTTTAATATAAGTTAAGAAAATAATAAAAATGACTAAAATACTCTTCGTTTCACAGAACTTAACAGAAGAAATTAACGATCTTTAAACAAGACCGTTGGTAATTAAGAAACATGAGGGATCAAATTTGAATTTAAAAAAATTTAAAGTCAATATCGGTTAAAAACTACAAATTTCATGGATTGAAATTAAACTTAATTTTATTTTAATATAAAATGGTCATTAAAATTGGAAAAAGCAAAGGGTGTGGTCTTAGATTCAAGAATGGTCAGTACAGCGGTTAAAGCTGCTTACTTTTCTTCTATTAGTTACTTGCATTACCATCCAACCAATTAAATAATTTATTTAAAATATAAATTTATATAATCATGTAAAATATATCTTGTAATTTTTAAAATATGATTTCGTCATGACACCTTATTGTAATACATTTGTATATATTTATGTTGTAGTGTTTTAAGGGCTTAATCATATGATTCACTGAACTTCAAGATAATTAAGTTATTTATTGAATAAATAGAAAAGAATAATTTAGTAATATAAAAGACAAATCATAAATACGTTTAATTAATTTATTCTCTCCGTAAATTAATAAAAAAAAAATCATAACTCTATATATTGTGTTATCTTTTAATCTTTGACGTCGGTAACACAAAGTGTATTCTCGTTGTTTCTTGTTTTATTTGTATCATATTCTGTATTTTTCTTATTTATAATACATCACAATATGTATTTTAAAATGGGAAAATTGACCCAAATGATTATATTCCACAACCAAATTGACCCCCTAAAAATTTTCTATCATAACTTTATAAAAAAAGTCACTAGATCCGCAATACCCAGGTCCGACAATTGTCATGGGCCTACTAAACGACAAAATTCTAGAGTTTATTTTTGTCCCAAGTCCGTAACATAAGGTCCGTAACTATTATGGATCCGACTCAAAACCCATTTTTCTTAAATTTGTAATGACATGTTCGTAAGTATCCACCTTGGGGTTTTCTTATGGGAAAATTGGTGTTGAGTCAAATCCGTAATAATTACGGACTGGTAGTTACGATTTTTTTTATTGTTTAGTGGGTCCATAATAATTACAGACGTAATGACTTTTAAATAAAGTTTGAAAAATAATAATAATTAGAAGGTTAATTTAATTGTAGAATACAATCATTTGAATAAATTTTTCTTTTAAAATATCATGGTCATAAAAATAGAATAACTAAGAGAAAATAAGAAAAGGCTGCGAAATATTATGGAGTATGAGTCAATTATGACCACTTTAATACAACCACACACCATAAATAATATTAAAAATAGAACACCACATGGATATTTTCAAAATTAATCAATCACACACAACGTAGTGGAGTTAATAATTTGTTAAATAATATTTAATGGTTTTAAATACTTTTTTACCCTTTATTCAAAACAAAACCATAGATACAATAATTAAAAATTATTTAATCCAAAATACATTTAAATTAGTGCCACGTCACAGGTCGGATGCCATGATGGCCATCTTTACTGCCACCTCAGCATGATTGGGCAAACTGGACTGGAGCATGCCTTGTTTGACTATCGTGGACCTTTAAGACACCACATCTTGCCTCGCTGAACCGTAGTGTTACCGGATATTACGTTTAAAATACTAATATTTTTTTTAATACCATATATTTTTATTTTTACTAACAATCACTGACACATTTTAGTTATTTTAATTTTTAAAACAAAATAAATGATTTTTAAAATAGTATCATAATATAATTCAATTTAATATGAGGTGGTTGGTTAAAACGGATCTAATCATGTGGTTTGAATTCCAACCTATTTGGACAAACCATTATAATAGTTATTTTCATCTTTTTTTCTTTTTAAACTTTCGGTTGTCCATAATAACTAGATGTTTTTATCGGTTATTCTATTTAACAATATATATATATATATATATATATAGAGAGAGAGAGAGAGAGAGAGAAAGAGAGGGGGGAAACGTTTAAATAAAAACCATCTAATTTGTACAAACCGTGAAAATCACATTCAACCAATCATAATTTTTCATTTTGTTCATTTTTTTTGTAATTATGAGAGGTTGATTAACCATTTTTATTGTGGAGGGTGTTAATCATGTATATTATCATCTTCATTATTTTAATTTTAGAGAAATACATGAAACAATTTCATTAAAATTTTATTAAATATTTTATAAAACAATTTCATAACCATATATGAAACAAATTCATCAAAAAAGTATTATATGAAACAATTTCACAAGATTAAACAATTTCATGAAAAAATTTCATAAGATTAAACAATGAAATCGACGTATGAGGGTGGTTTATACGGTTTGTACAAAATGATGATGGTTTTCATTTGATCATTCCTCTCTCTCTCTCTCTCTCTCTCTATATATATATATATATATATATATAAAGAGAGAAGAAGGTTCAAACAAGAATGATATGTAAATAAGAAAATAAGAGCATGGATTTCAGTTAATCATTTATTTGAATAATGTCTTAAAATAAAACTTTCTTTAAAATTGTCTAAACTGACATGTGTCACATGTGACATTTGTTGCATATGGATTGTATATGAAAATTCATTTATTTTTATAATTGTTATTTAATACATTTAATTTAGGAATTTATTAATGATTTAAGCATGATATATTTTTTGGGTCATTTAAAATTAAAATAAATGTGATTTAGTTCTTTTATTTAAAATATTTACTTTTTTATTGAGATTATTATTTAAGATTTTCTTTTTACAATTTTAATAAAAAATTACATGTGATATCTACAATTAATCGACATTTTTTCTAATAAAAATCGTTAATTTTCATTAAAGTATCAAATGTGATATTGATCATAGAAATTTTCAAGTGCAAAAGAAATGTAAGTCATCTACAACATTATATGTGATATTTTGTAAAATTATGAATTACGTTTTGAATCACATGTAATATAATATCACAAGCCAACCGTATCAAATATTGTCCGCTTTGTCCATACTTGGAGACTTGGAGTTATGGTTTTAAAACATGTCTAATAGAGAAGATATTCAGTCCTTGATAAGACAACATTTGTTTCCCTCTGCAACCGCTGTGAGATCTTATATATGATCTTATACATATTAAACGTGTTATGATACACATCACATGTAATTTTAATTCAATTGTTTTTTCTTTTTCAAAGTTTGGAAAAAAAAGTCAATTAATTATAAATCATACGAGATTTTAACGAAAATTGTATTGTGTTAAAATATGGTCTTAAGTAAAAAAATCAATTATTTAAATGAATATTAAATTACAATTATTTTAAATGCCTTAGATGGAAAATAAAAAATTAAACTACATTAAAATCACAAAAATGGTAAAAAAGGAGTCTTAAAAATGTCTTAGATAACTCTTATATAAATAAATGACTTTTATACACTTATTTATTTACTTTCAAATTTTATTTATAAATGAGATATTATTTAATAAATTTAATAAAAAATCATATAATTTTATTAACAAAATAATTAGAAATTAAACTTATTAAAACAAAATAAAATAATTAACAAACAATAAAACCAATAATAAATAAATAGGGCCCCTACAACTTACACAAATTTCGTTTAGTAATAATGGCAAAGAGTGTAAATAATTGAAAGTTTGAGGGCAAAGTTGGAGGAGGTCCATAGTCAGCAGGTTCTTGTGTTTGCTATAAATATGTAGCCCCAGCATGTAACGCCTCCTCATCCCTCTCTCGACCTTCCTAGAAAAGATTCTCTCGCCAAAGAATAAACGTGAAATCAGGAACGGAAAGCTGAAGCTCAGATCCTTCATTCGCTTTTCGATCTGCTAATCACCATAGTTGAGTTGTGATTCAGTTACTGTTTGATTATAGCTTTATTGAAGATCGAAGAACACTTGGAAACAGAGATGGCTCCTCAGAACGTCGGAATTCTCGCCATGGAAATCTACTTCCCTCCTACTTGTATCCAGCAGGTATCGCTGTTTTTTTCTCTTTTTTTACTTCAATGATCTATGTATCAGTGCGTTTGCACGGTAGAACTAGAAGCTTCTGTTGTTCCAGCGGATTGAATTCGTTCGTAGCTATGAATTTGAATTGTTGTTGGAGAGTCTGTTGTTTTGTTTTGGATTTATGCATGAAATAACACATTTTGGGATAGAAGAAGTTCTAATTCACCAAAAATAGTATGAAAATTAGTGAAGATTGGAGGTTAATTGGACATGCATAATCGATTTAACAATTGGAATCTTACGAGCTTATGAATTTTGTTGTTTTATGGTGTTAATCATGTACGCCATTGTTTGAGCCAAATGGTTAACCTTACCTGTGCTCAAGTTTGACTTTATTATATTTGATCTCGAAGAAATTTGATGGCAGGATCCAAGAATATAAATCCACATTTTTGAGCTTTGTTATGATTTTAACTCTTTTTTTTGGAGGCTTGACTATGATTTTGCTTAGCATCACTGACGTATTTTTTTCATGCTCTGTGAGGACTCAGCATCAACAATTTATTCCTGCTGACCCAAGGAATCCTTATTAATGCAACACTAGATAGTTATATAGGAGGTTCAAAGACAATGAGGAACACTTCTATTAGTTTTTCACTTCCACACTTGATAGACACAAATGAGATTTTCCCTTTTCACAGGAAATTCCACCCCTCCAAGCAAAATATAGATATACAAAGGTTCCATTAGTGTAGCCTTATAGGACGACTACAAGTATCATAATGGTTCCATAAGATACAAGAACATCTTAGAGAACACTAGGCTGTCCTAGATAATTTTGGTGTCTTCTAGGATGTGTAAGCAGTTTCTTGCTCCTCCCCTGGAGAGTGTTTTCTTGATTAGCAGAATACTTGGTGTATACGTGGTGCCTGTACAGCTTATCTGGACTTGAAGAACATTGGGGATGAGACTAGGGTGTTATTTCCATTAATGTACAGGTGGAGCATTATTGCAATGTTGGATAACTCAATAAGTAAGCAACTATAACCCTGGATTTAGATTTCATCATAGCTAGCATGACTGACTACACCGTGTTCACTTTTTGCATCAAAAGCTTAGTTTTATAGAAACATTTAAGGGCAAACAGAGTTAAGTTGGTAAGCTGACAAAAGCAGACCCCGTTAATAAATTTACTTTCACTTGATCTGTTTTCAGCTTAATATTGTAAGCTAGTTTGGAACAGAGTTGTTGCTTTATTCTCATCTGGGGTTTAGTTGTAAGTAATGTTGTGTTTTATTACTTGTATGCGGTGTTAATTATTTGGGGTAATTAATTTACAGGATACCCTAGAAAATTTTGATGGTGTAAGTAAAGGAAAATACACCATCGGACTCGGACAGGATTGCATGGCATTTTGTTCAGAGGTTGAAGATGTCATCTCTATGGGGTTTGTACTTTTTTTCTTCTTGAAGATCTATGTTTTTTTTTTGCATATATCAAAAGAAATGCTTGGTCTTTTGGCATTTCTGTTTTTTCTTCAATTCATGATTATTGTGATGTGCAGTGTTTTTATTGTAGTAACATGACTGTAAAGATCACATCTCTTTTACTTGAAAATCTTCACGAAGTCCATCGGAGTGTTTTAATGTCACAACTACTAATGCATTGAGGGTACTTTGTATTGAATGGATGCCAACATATATGATATTTGTGATGCGTAGTACTTGGCCAGGTTGTCATATTCACTGTGACATGTTTTCAGTAATTGATAACTTTAAGTTCTAAAATATTGCAAGTCTTTCTAAAATGCTATAGTAACTGGTACTATTTGGAGTGTCATGAAAAAGTCAATCAGGCATTGCCATTCTTTTAGAGAATCAGTGAATGAACATCTGCCTGTAAGAAATGGAGGATTTTGATACCAAACTCGAACTTTGAAGGTGAATTTTTGTATTTTCCCCCTTGGTTTGACATCTAAAAAAACCAGTTTATGATCTTTCTGAGAAAAGTAGCATCTAGTTACATGATTAATAGTTGAATATAATAAATGACCGAATTATACAGACCTTCCTTCAATTTTGCTCAAAGGGAAAATCTATTTGCTATATATATCTTTTCTGCACCAGGTTCCTGATGCTTCTTATGTCTGCAAGGGAATTGATGCTCATACTTTGGCAAGTACAATAAATATATGGAAGGTCATCCTTGAGAGTTTTTGGAGTCACATAACATATTTTATTATAAATGGGACTGTTTTCGTTGCAACCTTATTCTTATCACACATTGCATGCCATAAATTTGACGCCCATGGTATCTTTAGATTTCATAATCAAGGGTTCTATGTTGTACCATGTTTAGTGTAGTGTATAATCCATTTGCCTGATTAATGAACTTGACCATCCAAGTTTGTAATTGTTTTCTTAGGTTAGGTGTTTTAGTTCTTTGGCCTACATACCATCATTGTATTAACCTTTTTCATTTTCAGATTAACAGCTGTCACTTCGCTACTTGAGAAGTACGGGATTGATGCAAAACAAATTGGTCGGCTGGAAGTTGGCAGCGAAACTGTGATAGACAAGAGCAAATCCATCAAGACCTTCCTAATGAAAATCTTTGAGGTATTCATATATCTTTTGGGGCTGTGCTAGGTGCTTTTCTTGTTCTAATTTAGTAGTTAGATTCACTTTAGTTTCAAGTTGATATATTCCTGGACCCTCGGTACTGCTCACTCGATCTTCTCAAATGCTATGATCTCAAAATTTTGTTATTTAATCACTATGTTTTTTTATTCAACGACTAAGTAACTAATATTCCTGCTCTCTTGACATGTACTCGAGCAGGATTGTGGAAATACCGATATCGAAGGTGTGGATTCAACCAATGCCTGTTATGGTGGAACTGCGGCATTATTCAACTGTGTGAATTGGGTGGAAAGTAATTCATGGGATGGACGCTATGGATTGGTTGTCTCCACAGACAGTGCGGTATACCCATTGCTTTCTTATTTCATATTTGGAAACAAATGTATCAGGACAGGGGCGTTCGAATCTTTTTGGAGACAAGATTGTTTTAAACCAGCAAAGTAACATTCTACAAAAAATGTAACATTATACATGTATAATTTGCCAAATCGGCTAAAAATGTAAAAGTCTAAAACATTATACATGTATAATTTGCTCCAAAAAATTTGGTGGCCATGTTCCATTTCCCAAATTGGAGCACCCTCAAGCCTTGTATTAGGATAGATGGTCCATTGCTTATTGGAAATCACATTTATCAGGTTTATGCCGAGGGACCAGCTAGACCAACAGGAGGAGCAGGTGCTGTTGCTATGTTGATAGGGCCTGATGCTCCTATTGCATTTGAAAGCAAATTCAGGGCAAGTCATATGTCCCATGCTTACGACTTTTACAAACCTGACCTTGCAAGTGAATATCCGGTATTCCTCAATCCCTCCTCCGAAGGTAGCATTTTAGATGGTTGGTTACGAATTCCTAACCACTAAACATGCTCCTTGTAGGTTGTTGACGGAAAGCTGTCTCAAACTTGTTATCTCATGGCACTCGACTCTTGCTACAAGGGATACTGTCAAAAGTAAGTTTGTTGTCAATATCCAAACATATTTAGGGCCTATTTGTTAGCAGCTTAATGAGCTTAATGGGACTCGCAGCTTWTTYGGTMAGCTATACATGACTGTTTGGTAGTGGCTTAATAATATAGAAAGTGACTTGTTCAATAAGCTTATTGGGAGAGCTTTATGCAGAAAGACAAATTTTCCCAAACCCGTCCCTCCCAATTAAAAACATGCTCCTTTCATATATGAAAAAACCCTCCCAAACAAAAACATTCCCAATCTATTTTGACATATTAATCCACACAAACAACTTTATCCACATAGGACTTGATGAAAAACCAACCAAACAACCCCTTAGTGTGATATGTAGATTGTGACAGGACTGAGTAGGACATAGTTGCCTTTTTGTGTCCAACCAAGATAGGTGTAACATAAATCAGGAGATAAGACAAAATTGGTAAATTACTAAGCTACCCATGTCAAATTAAAACACTAAAATCTAGCACAATTCTTTTATCTGCCTACCTCAATCTCTCCCGTCCAGTCATATCCCGTCCAGTCCTGTTTGCATACCAAACGTACCCTTATGTTACAATATGTGTCTTACCAAAATCTTGCCAATATAGGTACGAGAAATTACAAGGCAAACCCTTTTCAATGGCCGATGCTGAATATTTTGTTTTTCATAGTCCATATAACAAGGTAATTTATTTAACAGAAGGCACAACTCTTTCTATTCTTGGCACTCTAGCTACTCTGTAATCTTCAAAAGTAGTTGAACTTAAAAAAACTTGTGAATTCCTGCAGCTTGTACAGAAGAGCTTCGCTCGCTTGGTGTTCGATGATGTTGCTAGGAATGCCAGGTGATGATCGAATTTGTTAGATCAAAACTTCAAATCCAAATCCAAATCCAAATCCATATACATTCTTACCCATTTATCAAACAAACAATTACTTGTTCTTTTCAGTACTGTTGATGAATCCGCGAAAGAGAAGTTAGGACCGTTCACATCTCTAGCAGGCGATGAGAGCTACCAAAGCCGTGATCTTGAAAAGGTGCCTTGATCTCTCGATACCAATTTACTAAATCGAAGTATATAAATTTGACGAACCAATGATCAACGAGTTTATGGGTATGCATGTATTTATAGGCATCACAGCAGGTGGCAAAACCCGATTATGATAGGAAGGTTCAGCCAGGAACCTTGATTCCCAAGCAACTGGGAAACATGTACACTGCATCTATCTATGCTGCCTTTGCTTCCCTGATTCACAATAAGAATAGCTCTCTGGTACGCATCAGCTCCCACATTTCACTTGGACTGTTAACCATTTTCGTTTACAGATCCTGAACCTGTTTGTGTTCCTTTCCCAATTTCAGGATGGAAACCGCGTTATGATGTTCTCATACGGGAGTGGATTATCCGCCACAATGTTTTCATTACGTCTTAGTGAGGGCAAAGCGCCTTTTAGTTTGTCAAACATCGCAAAGGTCATGAACATTGAACATAAGTTGAAGACAAGAACAGAGGTATGCTATCAAATCCTAGAAATGACAATAAATGCGTGTGAGAGAGAGATGGTGTTGTTTGCCTAACACTTCTGAGTTCTGACTGACTGAGATGTTGACCGAGTTAGCCACCATTATGTCACTTAGGAGTTGTTTGGTAGTTACTGAATGATTTGATGCAGAATGATTAAGTGGTTAAAATGATATTAAGTGGTTAGAATGATTAGTGTAAAATAAAATATAATTATTTTATAATTGGTTACAATGAAATTATGATGCTGAATGGTTAAGGGATGCCTAGGATACAAAATCATTCAGAGAGTTTTAGAATCATTAAGAGGCAGACTTTTTTTTGACAAACAAGATACACCTCTTAACGGTTTAGAAACTGCCTCTTAATGAAACTATTAAGAGGTAAACTATTCAGTAAGCTTCTTAGGGAACTTTAGTGTAGAAAGTCAAGTTTTTTCAAACCTGTCCCTCCCAATTTGAAACAAGCTCCTTCGTCTATGAAAAAACCTTCCCAAACGAAAACCTACTCAATCTATACAAACACATTAATCCACACAGACAATTTTATCCATACAAAACTTAATGAAAAACCAACCAAACATCCCCAAGTCAGACAGTGCTTACCAACTCAGACAATGCTTATTCAAATTGTTTTTTGAATAAGCACTTGCTACAAAAAACTTGGTAAAAAACCATTTTCAGTCTGACTGAACCTGTTACCTAGATAACACTCTCACCGTCTTACCTTGTTAACGCTTACCCAATTTGTGTTGGTAAAGAACTTCTAAGTAAGTATGTTATGTGTGGGCAGTTTGCACCGGAGAAATTTGTCGAATTGATGCAGTTGATGGAGCACAGATACGGTGGCAAGGACTACGTGACAAGTAAGGACACGAGTCATCTTGCTCCGGGCACCTACTATCTGACCGAAGTAGACTCCAAATACCGAAGATTTTACGCAAAGAAGACGACCGAGTTGGCCAACGGTCATTGAAGATTGATGGTAATCAGTGAGTGGACTCAAGTTTAGCTCTACAAGTATGGTTTTGGTTGAGGGTGATGTTGTAAGAGCACCTAATAATTTGGTTTCATTTGAGTTTGTTAATCCATAATAGTCGAGTATGAAAAAGAAATTGTATTTTTAATCTATTTTTATCAATAATAATTATTTATGATCAACATTCTTCTTATCTTCAATTAGTTTTTTGAATGTCTCAAAATGGTATTTTGGTTATTTTCAAAAATCAAAATTCATATGATATAATTAACATGTATTTATTTCACAATTAGTTTTTTTCACATGTATTCCATCCAAAATATAAATCCTTTTAATGTATTTGTGACACAAGAAATATATGTAAAAACATTTTATATTATAAATCAAATACATTATAAAATAAATAAATATTAATCAATATATTAAATATTATCTTTAAATGAAAAATTATATAAAACAAAACTTTAAAATAAAAATAAAAATTAATATCCATCTCTTTTTAATTCCTCGTATAAACTAATGGTCTTCAAAGACACTTTTGCTCGTTGTTGTCCGTGTGGATGCTCTTAAAGAATAGAATCGTGCGAGTTTTGCCATATAAATTTCCAACACTTTTATTCGTAATCAAATTTGATACAAAATAAAATACAACAATCATGCGGAATGTGAAACATAAACTAAACTCCAAACACTATCAATCCTTAGAGAAAAGGATACGATCAAGCCGCGACCGGGGTTGTACGATTGGGCCCGAACACGTACTTTATAAGCGACTCTTTAATGGACAAGAGCTCAGGAAACTCGGTCTTCAACTTGATCGCATCAAGCTCGTTGTTGCTTCGTGGAGCGATGATCACTTTCGCTTGTTCCTCAAGGTTAAAGTTCTTCCACGTGAAGCTTGGCTCGATGTAATCACGATACATCTCCAAGATCTCGTTGTGGCTGACACAACCAGGGTTGGTGAAGTTGTAGATCCCGGTGAGGTTCCTTTTTGCCATTTCTATGGAGATTGGGAGGAGCTCGTCGAGTATCGTCATAGAGTTGGGAATGTCGACCACTTTATCGTAGCGGCTGATCTTCGTGATGAAGTTTCGTGGGTTGGTTAAATCGGAAGAAATAGGCATCCTTACTCGCAATGTGCACACGTTTTCGTAGTTCTTCAGCAATTCCTCCACCTGTAAACAAAAACCGTCATAACCAAAAGACCCACGAGTTAATGGACACTAATTAGACCGGGAGCTAGACAAGTAAAAATTGCACCACATTGTCGAGTCTTTAGAGTGGTGGACTTCGGCTTTAATACCATATAATAATACAATAAAAGCAAAAAAATTGATCACAGACAACCCAATCAGTCCACATCAGACCAGCTTCAAGGACACCAAATGAGGCATTTTTCAGAATTGAACCCAACATCTGTCATGTCTCATCCTTTTATCAACTGAGCTACGTAAGGATTGGTTTTGGACCAAATAATAATAATAACAAGAAGAATCCTTACTAAGAAAATTGGATCCTTGCGCAGAAAATGCGTAAAGATTCCATTTTCTGCGTAAGGATTTTTCATTATTATTTTTTCTTTTTTGTCGGAAAAACCAATTTCAACCCCATAAAGTGAATTTAGGTTAGAAAACGACCCTTTATATTATTATTTAACTATCTCGCATTTCAAAGACTCGGATCTTTTCTTTAAAATGCAAATCAAGATCTTATAAATATCATATTTTATGAATAAATTCACATGTAAATATATAAAAAAACACACAAAATCATGAAATGGGTGATGGCACAAATCATCAAAACTGTACAAAGATGCAATAAAAATCAAAATTTTAAGATCAATTAAGTTACCATAGCTTTAGTCTTGGAGTAAAAAGATCCGATGAAGTTGGGTGAATCCTCTTCCTTAAATCCGACGCCGGAACCCAGCTGATGGCCGGAATCATACTCGAATATACAACCGGTAGCATAGTTGATCAAAATCAATCCCTTTTCACGGCAAACGTCGGCAAGTGTCAAGGTTCCGACGACATTAGTACGGATGGTCTCCACCTTGTGTGACTCACACCAGTCAACATTTGGTCGTCCGGTGACGCCGGCGGCATTGAAGACGTGGGTGGGTTTGATGGCATCGAGGTCGGCTACGAGAGTTTGACGTGATTCGAGACGCCCGGAACCGTAGGTGTACTGAATGCCCTGAGATTCACAGAGCTTGCCCAATAAGCCACCGATCCAACCGGTTTTGCCGTAGATCAAGAACTTGAATGGCTTCGCCGGTGACCCGTTGGACGACGAACCCATTAGCAGAGAGAAGGTAGGTGTTTGAAGAGAGAGAGAGAGAGAGAAGAGGAGATTGGATCGATCTGCTGTCGTCTGTCTATCTATCTGTCTTTATAATAAGCTGATATATAAATTCACTGCCAACTTCATCAAAATATACCTTTTAACTAGTTTTGTTAAAGTTTATATAAATGTGTTATTTGTACTAAAATGATACTAGCATAATTAAGTCAGATGCATTTCGATTTTAATATTTTTTTTGTTGAGAAAACGATAATATTTTTATTTTTAAATAAGATATGAATATAAAGATATTATAAAAAATTGAAAATAATAATATTAATATTAAACTAACTATTTAAAATTTCTTTTTCATATATTTCTTTAATTTATTTTTTTTGTTTAATAATATATTTTTTAGAAATATAATAATTAAATATTTTATTAGAATTCAATGATTATCTTAATTATATTTTAAACTTTTTATATTTAAAATGAGATGTTTATCCTCTCGATTATGTTTATCTGCAGTTAGTTATACAAATTCAAACATAAAGTTTTAATGAGTTGTACTTACGTACAATTTACTTGTAATCTTGAATTTTAAGTAATATGCATGCATAAAAAGTGGTTTTTAAGAGTTTTTATCAAATACTTTATAATATAGTATAAATTTGTATAAATAAATATGTTTTTGTAAATTAGACAAATTAACGTATTTTTTTTAATCTGAAAATAAAATTTTAGTAGTGTCTATTTTTAGATTAAAAAAATATCTACATAAATTAGAAAAGTTACACAAATTTACGTAAATTTATTTAACTTGAACATAAGATTCATATGAATACGTAAGATATTTATATAAACTCTGAATAAAATGAGAATTTGTTGAAAAAAAAAATGATTAAAAGATGAATTTGATTGAAAAAATTAACTATTTTTAGTTAACATTAATTAAAAATAATCAATTTGTTATTATAATTTGTAAAGTTAAAGATTTTAAAAACATATATTTTGCCTTTCTTTTCATTAAAAGATTTGAAAATTGATATATATATATATATATATATA